CTGTCTGTCTGTCTGTCTGTCTGTCTGCCTGCCTGCCTGCCTGCCTGCCTGCCTATCTCACTGTCTGCCTGTCTGCCTGTCTGCCTGTCTGTCTCACTGTCTGTCTGTCTGTCTGTCTCACTGTCTGTCTGTCTGTCTGTCTTTCTGTCTGTCTGTCTGCCTGCCTGTCTGTCTGTCTGTGCTGTGATGACTGTGTAGTATTTTAGATGAGCGGATGTTGAGAATCCAACCCTGCTCCCCAATTTCATTTAAACTATACTTGCTGTGACATTATAGTGACTGCATATCAAAGTGTCCCCAGCAGGTCATTTCATTTTTTGAATCACGTCACACACCAACAGTCACATTTTCTACATTTTGAACATAGTTATTAATATAATGAGAGGTAGCACATGATCAGCATGAACTGAATGTTGTTTGATTTGATCATATGCTGTAGAAACATAAAGGACATCCATCAGCAGCTTTCTAATACTACTGACATCATGAAAAGGTATTTCTATAACTGGAAGGTTTAAACTAAGATCACATAAGATCACATAAGTAATGAAACCTTTGCTCGTATTTTACTTCATGGTTTTGCAGAATACCAAGCAGGTTTTGGAGTTTGGATATCAAAAAAGTATTATAGGGAGTTTAAACTTCAGCTGAGGATCACATTTAATAATTTCAATGAGGATAATCAGATCAAAATTTTACAACTGAATAACTGTAAAATGTGCTGTTTTTATGTGCAACCAAATTTACAACTTGGCTTTTAATATTTCATTTTAGTTTTTGCATTTCACAAGACGTCCAGACAACAAAATAAACAGTTACATTTTACATGGTTGCACCTTTTTTCACTGCAATTGGCAAAAACAGGTTAGATGTTTTTTTTTCTCACGACAGATAAACTAGATACATTTTAAGACATTACTATATTAGTTCACAACCCTTTTACATCGATATGATATACGATATGATCCTAATGCAGTGTAACACATGGCCCAATGATTGCTGCTTTAAATAGAAACACTCCAGTCTTGTATTGTGCCTGGTGAGTTCATTTGAAAGAGAAGTGCACTTTAGATAAAGATCATTTTCAGCATGAAGGTGAGTGTGCCCATCAGACAGACACACTGGTTTAAAAAAAAAAAAAAGATTTATGTTTTTTTTATTAACTAATAGAAGACGCTGGTGTTCTGGACACTGTGTGTGTGTGTGTGTGTGTGTGTGTTTAACCCCCCACCCTACTCCTAATTCCTAAATGTCTGTTATATGTTCAGAAATGTCACGTCTGGTTAATTTGTTTATCTTCTCACCACAATAAGTTTGCATGAAAATGGATGGGAAACTTTTTATTCTAACCCACAAACTGTCCTCACATCGATTACTAACACACTGAAATGCAGGCGTTGAATCTATCAGAGATGAGTCACAAGCTGAATAAATCTAAATATTTATATTTATACCATTGCAACATGTTTTTACTTATATGGCACCATTCATGCATAAAATAGAACACAAAATGCTTCATGTGAAAGCGATTCAAAACATTAATGATAAAACTAATGAAACAAGAAAAAAGAAATCAAAAAGAATATAAACAGCCGAATAAAACAGCCATCAGGTAAAACATATCCGGGGGGAAGCAGCATATTGAATAAGTAAAACAGAATCAAGAGAGCAGAGCCCGTCAGGAGAAGACTATGGTAAAAACACTTGTCTCAATGCTTCTTTAGAAACCGTCAATAGATGTAGAGCTCAAAGACCTTCAGACAGAATATTTGGGTCTTCATTGACAAAGCCTGCCTCACCGTGCCTTATGTCTCCGCTCTGCTTCGCTAGTGTCTGGGTGACAGCGTTTTGTGACGGCAAGTACACAATATATATTGTCCGATTGCTGCGCTGCCCCTGTGGTGTTATTCCTCCGTTGATATGTGGAAAGGTGATGATCGAGGCTTTCTCATGAACCGCTCATCCATAAAAGAAACTTCACGGTTGACGCTGCACTTCCTGTTGTCCTCACACCACCTGACAGACAAACAGACAGAGATTTTAATTAGATTGCTGAACAGAGCTTTATTCATCTGTTTGCTCAGAAACATGTAAATCAACAGTCTTCATGTTGTGACCAGCTGAATGTTATTGACCTTTAGCTTTATAAACACACGCACTCACACACGTCTGTGTTAGAAGTGTTTATCTCTTGGCAGACCATTATAACCAAGTCTCTGTCTTCTCCATTCTTCTCATGCTAACACAGTTTTGTGGACAAAGCCACTACAGCCAGGATTCTCCTCTAATGATCATTGCATCTACAGGCCTCTCTCCATTTCACCTACCACATACAAATGCCTCAGGCTCTACTGTAGAAATAATTGGGAAAGGAGATGATGTGTGCAGTATTCCCACCAGTCCACCAGTGTTTTTTGGATGAGCCAGGGTGATGAGTGGTGGGAATAGGGAGATCTGAGGTACTTACAGGACTGTGCGATGGTGGTAGAAGTTTGAAATGAAGCTGTGTAAGCTGTGGGAGTCAGTATGTCCCCATGGTAACACTTTCTGAGCTGTAGTTTTAATGTTGATGGTAATTGTGCAGTTGAAAACAGGAAATGCCAAGACTGGTATAATGCAGAATGTAGACATGAGTGATGGCTGAAGATGTCTCAATCAAAAAAACCAATCAGGCTGATGTTAGTCCCCAAGAACCTCCTCTTTTATATATGTGATTCATTCTTTTACTGGCTTTATTGTTGTGTTATTATTGTAATATATGGATATGGCTATTTGTTTTTATCTATGCTTTGCCGTGAGCAGAACGTCTCCCAGAGGGACACTAACGTACTGAGGTGAACTGAAGTGAATAAGCTTATTTCCACTGTATTACCACTACCTGTTATCTGCTCCTCCTCTTTACTCTCTCTCGATGTGGTTTCATAGATATCAGTGCCATCAGGAGTTGTACAAGTGTACATAGGCAATGGGACTTGCTTTAGTATCTTGAAGACATGTCCTCTTGGGTGAGAGGTGAAATGTCTTCCGTGTCTATGTACACTTGTTCAGCTCCTGAATATTCCCTGACCTGGATGACATAGAATCTTCAGATATTTTACTAGTTTAGGATCATTTTCTACTGTTAATTTTACGTATTCAGTTATACTCCCAGTATGTCACCTCAACTGACTGACCTACTTCCTTGTCTCCTCTCGTCTCTTTGCTCGTCCAGAGAAGTAGAGGAGGAGCTGGAGGTGGTGTGGCAGGCAGCAATCAGGGAAAACCAGCAGATGAATGAGACTCTCTTGCACTCGAAACTGACTGAGGACGTCCACGGTTTGCCTGTTTCCACCAGAGCCTCTCCTGTCTGGCCTCCTCAGGCTCTAGTTGAGACCACCTCTCCCACCCGCCATCAACCTCGCAGTTTTGGATCCCCCCTCATGTCCTCTGATCGAAGCCCTGCGCTCCAGAGAAGGTCAGTTTTTAAATCTGACTCGGACCACCGAAACGACTCCATAGATGAAAAGCACAAGCACGGGCTGGATTTCTATTGTTAAAACTGTTGGATTCATGAGTTTTGACTGTAAACCAGCTTCAGTCAACATGTTAACACACAATGCAACAGTCAACACGTCAGCTTGAGTTCGCTTCACAGTTAAAACCAATGTTAGGTTGCACCATGTCCTGATCATTCACAACTGGGCTCTCTGCTGGAAACAATTCACTCCACACGTCCAGTGAAAACTGGGTGTGAACAGAAGAAAATTAAAACCTATAAAACGTTGAAAGAATGAAATGGAAAAATGAAAATCATTCAATACTACAGCTCAGGGTTAATAGTTTGGCCAAATATACCTGACATTAGTCTGGGTCAGTGTGATGGTCAAAGATTTTGATATGTTTTCAGTTTTTTTAGTCTCAGGATTTATAGTTTCTGCCAAGAATAACAGAAGAGCAACAAGTCAGAGCAATAAGCTCTGCAACAGGCTGAAGCCAAATGAACACAGCCAGTGTTTCCATCTGCTGGACACATACGGTACTATCCTGATCTATATCTAAATAAATATTTATGTCCCTGGAAATAAAACTGATAATAATGTTCTCTATTCTTATTTATTTAGACAGTTTGTGCTAAAATAACTTTTTTTTAACTGAAACCAGTGGGAGTTTAATGTGCAGATGTAAAGAAAGTGTCTTCAGACACAGCGTAGGTTCTCGTGTGACTAAGAGTGTGTGACTTCACCTCATTGATGCAGCCACAGACCTGGAGGATTAGACTGAAGCCACAGAGCAGAGCACTGACTGTATCGAGATGAACCTCAAATCCCTGCTGACGAACACAGGCCAGTGTGACGGCAGCACAGCGGCTCAGATGAGTGGTAACTATAGTGGGATGACGGGTGCTACCAACACTTGATGTAATGTTAGAACGTGCAGTTTACTTCCAGCTAAAACGTCAGCTGAAAAATTACAGTCAACCAAGTTACACCATCAAACCTCTCAGCCTCTGTGTCGTCAACAAGCAACATGTGCTTTCATAATCTGCAATAAAAATCCCGACTGCTGCGTGTCTGCCCTCCTCCATTTAAACATGCACATGCACAAATCCTATACCTGTTATTAAGGCCTCTGTTGGATGACAGTAGAATCTGTGGCTGTGTAATTATGAAGCAGAGAGAAGAAAATCAACTCCTAGTGTGTCAAAGTATTTCTGCAGGGTTTTTTCACCGTGAACCTTTTCAGGAACACTCACACATTCATTCCAGAATCTCCTCACACAGGAAGTTGTTTTGGCAGATTTTTATACATCCGAAAACTAATGAGAATCGAGGCGGGGAAGAATCCTCAACACCCTTGGTCATATGTATTAGTTTAATTTAAGACTTTCTTTTCCTGAAAACTGAATGAATTTTGCACAGTGAGAAACATAAAGATCAAAACATCTTCTTCGGTCCCTCAAACAAAATAACAATGAAAATAAAATTAATCATCTTTAAATGATATCTTAACTTTCAGCAGAATGTGTATCAAACCGTCTAGATTGTACGGTTTCAAATGTGTAATATCTATTATTTGTGGATCACATTATTTTAACCTGTCGAAGACAATCATTTATAATAAAGTGCTTTATACCCTTTTAAACATTTTCTGTGTCTTTTGTGTTTGACATCTTGTCGTGCTCTTTATATCTGACTGTAAGAAGAGGACACGTCAAGAAGAAAATAAACTCTCCTAGTCTCTTAAACGTAGTGCCTTGTTATTCAGTGATAATAAACTGCATATCATTATTACTTTAATTAATTACACACAGTTCCTGTCTATTTAATGTGTTATTTACTGAAGTAATTACAGTACTCCTAAACAGTCTTGGTGGATCTGAGTAACTAATGCTTGTTTTCATATAATTTATGAATATATATAAATATTCTAAACTGTGTAACGGCCTATGATGGACTGTAATCGTCTGAACCAGGTTTAAAACAAAGCTGTCCTGCAGGAATGGCTTTAGTACCATTTAAACAACACCACTTCAAGGAAACAATTAATCTAGAGTGAACTTGAGTTACCTTCACAGCCACTTTGTTTCTAGTAAGTAGAGAAAAGGGATTTTACTAAATTCAGTCCAAGCTGTGTCAAAACTTTCTTTTCTTGTTCAATGTTGTCTTTTTTTTCATGACCGTTTTCAGTTCCGGAGCTGTAATGTCTCCACGTTCATGGCTACAGTGGATCTGAGTTAAGACTGTTGAATTTACCAATGGCCATCACTGTATTCTCTGTAAAAGATCTGTGCTTTGTTGGACTTGATTCTCACGTCTACACATTTCCACCTATATAATCACCTGTGTATCATTGTTAGAGAAAATTAGACTCCATCGTCTTTTTGCATAACCCCACGAGGTAAGGTGCAGATCTCCAGACAAACTGTGTCTTCTGTCTTAGGGACACATACAGCCATATGTCCCACAGGGGTCAGTGTGGATTAGACAGGAGAGGGACACTTGACTGACAGAGAGACATGGATGAGCTGGAGAATGAGTTGAAAGTTCCTCCTTTATTTTTCCCATATGAAATATTTAATGTTAGGAGAGATCCACTGGTTGTGTGGACGTGTTACAGTAAGTTTACATAGAGTAAAGCTGCTGATAGCAGATAAAGTGTCTTCCTCCTACGAGCCTCTGTCCTGTCTCACCTGCTGTCATGCAGTGATCCCTTTAGATCACCTGACCGCTCTTCTCATCAGCCACCAGCAGAGGGCAGCTTCAGCTCCGTCAACTACCAGCTGAATTATTCTGTATGTTACTTTTTATAGTTGCCTTTTTATTCACATGTCAGGGTCTCAGACAGCTCCACACATGTTAATGCATCACTGCTCAGCACAGAATTACCTCTATGATAATTCTACTGAGGAAAACGTTCACCACTGGACCAGTGAAGCTGAAGCTCGCTCTCTTTGTTGGTGTATTTCAGTTCAGTTTAATGGATTTTGGTTATTTTGATCAAGTAATTTAAGTTTAATACTCACTAAGTTCATTTGATTGGTTTAGAATAATTTCTTAATGTCTCCACGTTACCACTCCACAGCTATAGGTATGTTGTTATTATAGGCTAACATGTTTTCGGATGAATATTCAATGTTTTCACGTAAGTTACAGGACGTCAACTCTGTTTCTCCAAGTGGTTCTGAGATACACAGCTGAGTCATTTCCATGTTTTACTGTCTCATGCATCTATAGATCCATGTCATGTTGTGACATGAAGAGACTCTATAGATGCTGTTTAAAGTCTGTATCTGCTCAATAAAGCTTTGTAAAATATCTAATGCTTGCTGCTCTTGCTACAGGACACAATGAGGTCAGTCTCTGTCTAAGTACTGGAGAACAGTCCACTTCATTTCGATCACTTCACGTGTTGCCTGTCGTCTTTCCTCACTCATTGTTTCTCCTGCATCCTGTGACATATCTGTCTGATCTGAAGCAATCTCTCTGTGTGTGTGTGTGTTCAGGGTTTGCTCCTGCAACCTTAAGTGCCAGTGTTCCTTGTAGTTCTCACTGTGTGGACCCCATCTGCAAATCTGAAATAGAACTCAGTTTTTAATTAAAAGTGTGGCTGTTTCGGAGAATATCGATGATGCAGAGTCCAGAGCTGCACCTGACGACAGTGACTCAGGCAGAGTGGGCTGAAGGGACACGAGCTGGACAAGAAGTCCCATTATGGGAAAACTGAAACCGTGGTAACATCTCCTTCACACTGCCTGAGGTGTGCTTGGCCACTGGTCAGGATAAATGATGTTATCTAGACTGGACTAGAGGTGAACATATAATATATGTGTTGGTTTCTGAAGGAACAGGTTACCTCATTCTTTATTTTCTAATTCTGCCATCCCCAACATGACCCTGACCTGAATTTTGACCTTTTCTATTGGCTGTAATTTTTCACTATTTTATTGTCTGCTATAAGGTTATGCAAATATGATGCAAATGAATGCTGCTTATTTGCATTTTATTATCTCTAAACAAAGAGTTGTTGTTGTGGAGCATGAAGCTTCTCTAATGGTTATGTGCTCATTTCAGTATTTTAGATGCATCTTCTTCACATTCTTCTCACTGTGGACGGAACATTTGCCAACATTTCCCAGCAGGCCTGGATATTCCATGGAAGTGTTCAGGTAAACATCCTGCTGTGCTCTGGGACATTTTGACATCAAACCACTTAACCCTGACTATTCATTGTCCAAACTGCAGATAAACACTTTAACACAGACATAATTGTAGTGATATTTATTCAAGGCGATACCATCTGTGATGTTTAGTTTTACTGCTGTTCCTCAGAAGCACTGACACACAGACTGTAACAACACAAGGGGCCTCTCTTTTCAGAAATGTTTAACTCACAGAAAGTTTCTTCTTATCTCTGTGAGTTCACGTTTTAAAGGTTGTCAAACAAGAGCTGAGGTCATTTCCGTTATCTGACAGGTTTATCATGAAGTAAATACTGAAGCAACATAAAGTACGTACATGCAGCATTTTCTGATGACTCTGTATGATTAGGGAATGGAGACTGAAGGATGGATGGGTGATGGCTGGTGTCAACTAATTGGTTTGAGGATCTTGCTACTGCAGTTGTGCATCACACACACACACACACACACACACACACACACACACACACACACANACACACACACACACACACACACCCCCACACACACCCCCACACACACCCACACACCCACAGTCAGTATGAGGAAGAGTGTTTTCTGCTGTGAAATCCCATTAAGGCATCACATTCCTCTCAGCTTTGGTTATTGTGCTCCAGTGGTGCTCTCTCAGTCCATTCTTTATCTCTCCACTCTCTCCATCCTCAACATTCCTCACACGATAAAAACCATGGAGATATACACTATACATATATATATATATATATTTATAATATTTACACATAATAAATACAAAGGCCTGCCTCACTTTAAAAAGCACGTTACGAGGTAATGTCATAAGAACTTCATGCTCAAGCAGATCCCTTGTTGCATAAAAACCACCCTGCTCAGGAAGAAAGAAGAAAACAGCAAACTCCCAAGAACTTTAAAACACGGCACAAGGAACTCAAAACAGAAATTAGGAGAATGAATTTAAATTAGCCAACCCTGGTTAATAATAATATAAGAAGAAGAAAAACTAATGTTTATAGCACTTATCTAAATGAGGTTACAAAGTGCTTCACAAAAAAGAATGAGTGTCACACTGGACCAGGGTAAGTAATAAAAAAATGCTACACATGAATTCAGGTTTATCAAATGAAAATAACTGCAAACTAAAATATAAACAATAAACTCCTGAGATATTACCTTCCACAGTCGTTCCTGTGCTAAACAAGTGAGTGAGACTGAGATGATTAATGGTTAAGCTCTCATGTGTTACACTCATCTGGAGCTTTGCACCTCCTCTGTATTTAACCAGTGTCTGACTGTCATCTGGCTCACAGACACATGGTGGCACCAGAGAGTTTAACACCTGGCAGCCCCCTGGTGAAATGCCAACTTCTGTATATATGTGTGTCTGAAGAGTTTAGTTTCAAACACAAACTGCCATTCTTCTTGTGTCCATGTATCCATCATCACAAAAACCTACAGGTTGCTCTTTGTGAAAGGCTTGAGCGATATATTTTGTATCACACATTTATTTGTGGGTATTTTAGTTGAAGAACAATCCAGTGTGATTTACATGATTTCTCATTTACTACATGTTTCAAATGGGAGAGACAGTGCTGATGTTGTGGATGTCTCTACTGCAGTTTGGAAAAGATAATCAAATAATGGAATATTCCCCTCTGTAATCTGATTTCACTAAAGAGGTTTCCATTAAAGAGAGGAGATAATCAAGCCTTGTGTTGGTGAAAGCTAATATTTGGCAATCAAGTTATTTTCCTGATCTTTTAATGCCATCATAAAATCTGTTCTGAGAGCATATCTCACCCACTGCAAATCAAGTTTGGGATAAAAACACATGAATCCACAACTAAAGTACTGCACACACATAATCTTTTATTGGTTTTCTTTGCTTTGGTCATTTTGAAGCAGGCCCTTTTCTTTTGTGACACAAAAAGTAAAGTGAACCAGTCGTCTGGTTGTTACTCACAATATTTTATGAGCACGATTACATGGAAATAACTGGTGTGTTGGTTTGTGAGCTGCTGTCACGGCTCATCAACAATAACTCCAGACGTCATTAAAACAATAACGCCTCCATAAATACCTCTCACTGAGAGTAGTGTCTGGTTACCTCCACCAAAGAGATTACACCCTTCTCGGTTTTTTGTTTGTTTTTTGTTTACTAAACCACTGCACAGATTACCATGAAACTTGGTACAAGGATGTGGTATGTTTCTGGGAAAAACCTGGGGGCGGATCCAGGAAATTACATTTTTCTGTCTTTCCCAGAGAGTAATTCCTGGATCAAGATGAAGTTAAGGGGACTTGAATGGGGGGGTGCACTCTGCTCAGTACTATGATGAATGAGTCTACGCAAAGTTTATATATATATAGTAACCATGACATCACTCCAAGTCAAATAGAAACTATTGTCTCTACCATCACGATAGATCCAGCCTATTTCATCCACTTCAACATTCTGGTCTCCTGTTTCCCTCTTTTCTGTGGAGCAACTTGCTTCTTCCGGCCTGAAGGTGTTTTTCTTTATGGCCCATGACCTGGATGAGAGACAATCTTTACATTTTTTTAGATTGATTCTCAGTAAAATTCAAAAATATCAAAAGAAACATATTTTCCACTTTCTATGTTTGAACTGTACAACGCTCCATCAGATAACACTCCACTCTGCCATTAGTGCTCAGTTTATTTCCGTCCTGTTTTCTGAGAATTATTTTCTTTTCTTTCTGTCCCCAGTGACATGTGTAACGCGTCCTCGGGTCTCTTGAAAGGAGCTATACAGATTCAACTTATTATAATTAGTATTTTGTCTGCAGGCCCCGGATTTATTATCCAACCAATCAGCTTCAGGCTCTCAGCAGACTCATCTGAGCATGTTTGTGTTTGGACATTTTTAGTGAGGAGCCTCTGGGCTTTCATGAAATTCACAAATTTCACAAGTTCATCTCCATAAACTTCTCTTTGGATGCTTGTGTATCAGTGAATTAAATGATTTAAACAGAAAGAGTGGGAGCAAACATCGAACCTGTTTATGTAAGTAAGACACTGTCTCCCCTCCTGCTCCTGCTGCCTTATCGTATCCACCCTTGACCTTCGACCTGCAAGAGGGACATGAGAAAGGGGGATGTCCCTACTCTCTGAGGAAGATGATGGCAGTTTCTGAAACATGTATCTGAGCTGTCTAATATTTCTTTATGATACGAGCTCTTCATACCTGTTATATAATCTTTTCTGAGATAAAGCTGTGTTCTTCTAGTCTCCAGGCCGGAACGATGAGGAGCGGAAGGAGGGCCTGCTCCAGGGCACATCTTCTCAGCTGCTTCACATGAAACTGTTGCCTCACAGTCACGAGCTCTCCCCTCCTTCCTCCAGGCAAAGGCTGGATAAAATATCAATGGTTCAGTTATACTGGGCTGGTGTTTGGGTCGAAGGCGACTCACATGCTGCGAAATCTGTTACCAACGCTTTTTTAAATGTGATGATCACAGCTTTTACGAACATCCCAGATTCACACTGTTGTTGTTACGTGATATAATTATACACCACGAGCTGCAGCGTGTGAGAACTTCTGTCTGAATGAAACAAACTTGTTTCTCTGTCCCTTCTCATTGAGATAATGTATTCTCTAACCCTTTATCCCAATCATCACTAAATAATCATAAGCACAGTACTGAACTGTCTTAAAGGTCTTAAACGAACTGCTACTTCAATGTTAAATATATGTAAATATGCACCTTACGGATTTTATGTTCAATCAACAGTAAACTACCTTATTGTTTTTATGTTATACTTGTACATATTATCTTTAATATATTGATTGTAGTTATTAAAGCTATGGTTGGTGATTTTGGTAAAGCAAGCAAGAGCAGGCAACACCTTGAAAAAATGCAACCGATAAATCCTGTCCCCTCCAATCAGCCTTCTGTTCAAAGTCACGCCCCCAAAACACATGACCGTGCACTGCTAGAGGACGTCTTTTCTGTGGTTCGATCCCCGGCTTCTGACTATCATCTCTGTTTCAGTGCTTTATGTTTCTCTGGCTTGTGAAGACAGAGGCAGGTCACATAAGCCGTTTTCAGACTTTCGGAGACGCGTTCACAACAGAAACAAGTTCTCCAGAGGCTTCAGGGGAGGGGTGGACCAGCAGAGGCAAGACGTATACGTGTTCGTCCTGCTGAGGACATCATGTGTTTCTGTTCACAGCACAATGACACAGGTGTCGGCTGTTATCACCACAACCTCTCCTGACGTCTTCCTCATCTTTTTCATATTGTAGACAAACAGGTGTTTGTTTTCTTTTTGTTTTTCCTTTATGCTTATGTCTGTTGACTGTAAGAGACTTCATCAACAAACCCATTCACTCACAGGCCATCCTGTGGAGGAGCTTGTGCGCTCACACCGGCTCCTCCGGACTTTCTGCACACTTTATACCAGGGGGCCAGATAGAGAGAGTCCGCAGAAACTCTTCAGGCTCTTATTCCAGAGATCAGTGCATGTCTGAAAGCAGCTTTAGTGACAGACAGGTACATGAATCAATTATTCATTCAGACATTTTCAAACAACTTTAATTCCTGATGGCTTTCAGGACGTGAGGAGGATCTCAACAAATAAGATCGAAAGTGTTTCAGACACAAGTTACCAGCCCGATCACCATCTTTCAGTATGTCTATAAGTTCACATTGTTGAACCTGTTTAATACGTATATGTTGTCTGCTTTGTGTGATTGCTATAGTCGTCCTGTCGACTAGAAAGAATTTACTCTCAATTGTAAATAACATTGACCCTGAAACCAGGTCTGAACACACTGAAAGTCTATAGCTGTGAGGACCTCATGTTTCATTGTCTCCACAGAAACACCAGTCACCAGGGGTTAGTTATGGTCCCCACCATGAGACAAACCTACACACACACACACACACAGGCACACACACACACACACACACACACACACACACACGCACACGCACACGCTCTCTCTCTCTCTCTCTCTCTCTCTCTCTCTCTCTCCCCCTCTCCCTTCCTCTCTCTGGTGGGAGGAGCTAACTCTGTGCTGCTGCTGGGACTTTGTCAGTGTCTCACAGCAGCGGAGGATCCTCACAGTGTCTGTGTCTGAGACTCCTGTTGACTGACTGTCTGATTAGAAGAAAACCACAAATAACCGTATTATCAGAAGCGGGAGGAGGCGGAGCGGTGAGTGAAGTAAACATGTGTGAGTGTGTCAGTGTGTGTTTGTACACAGTGTGTGTTTGTACACAGTGTGTGTACTGTACATGTGATCTGCAGTAGTGCTTTGATGGAGGGCTTTATAAAACTTTGATTAACTCTGTCGCACTGTACATCCACTAGTTTCGAATGGGCCCTGCTGTTTGAAAAGCAAAGAGTGTTGTCACTGATAGTTTCTCACATGGACACCAGTGATGACACTCGTTTATCAGTGATGTTGCAGTTGAAGTTGTTTACCGAACATGAATATGTCGCACAGTTACACTGGCACCCTGACAGGACTGTTATAGTACTTTACATCGACTCTGCTGGAGGGAAAACATGATTTGCATTAGGATAACACCAGTTAAGTAATAAAACACAGACAATGGTGCTGCAACTATGTGGAACTGAAACGTGTTGTTCTTTAATGTGCCAGCCAGTGTCTCCTCCAGGACCTATTATCTCTGTATTTTCTCTGTAGCCACTGCTACGGAGTGTCGTGATTAATAGTGTGTAATGCAATAAACTGAGAGACAAACACAAAGTGAAGACAACATATGAATCGCAAACAGGAATCTAAACATTAGTGCAACATTTTCAGCAGGGGGCGCTTAGCAGTTGAGTCTTGCAGGGATGTTTTAATGTTTTTTCAATACATTGGATTATTAGTTTAGAAAACGTGTGATGACAAGAAACCTTATCAGTAACATGTCTGACTGGGTATGTGTATTTTTGAACTCATTCACGGTAACAGATGAATTAAGGATGTATTGTAAGTTTGTGTGTATATTCTGCAATTTGCCTATTTTTTATCACCAAAATAATTATTTTGATTGTTTGTTTGCCTGCTTAACATAATTTGTCCATAAAGAAGGCACCTAATCTCAACAGTCCACTAATATAAGTGATTAGCATGGGAGGGAACTTATCTGGTGTGTGTGTGAGCAGAGATTTTATTACACCTTGTACCTCAAGACACAGTTTTCTGCACATTGTCCTCCAGTACAACATACTGGGGTTATAGGCTCCCACTGAGGATCTCCCTCTGTCAGAGAGCTGTATTCAAAGTCAGCGTGACCAGAGTCTGATTTAACCTGGCACTGACTGGGGGATTCTCATGTTTTGGAAGGAATTGTTTTATTTATTCACTACAGTTTGGTTTTCTTCCTAGAATGGTGTGCTTTTTTTAAGGGGTCAAAACTTTTAGTTTGAGATAGTTTGCTGTTGTAAAAAAGGTCTGTCACAGTCATCCTAAATCCAATCCACCTCAGATCATTATGGAATTCGTCATCGATAACAGGTTTTGAATGCTTTTTGAAAAGTATTCTCTGAAACTGTGGTGCCAGGAGGGGGCACTCTGCAGTGAATCAGAATTTATAAAAGCGTTTTCTCTTTGATGAACATAAGTACTACTAAAACCTGAGACTTAATGGTAATGTTCCTAAGAAAAGAGCAGTTACTAAATGAGATATTATACAGGCTTGTAAGTCTAAACCACGCGTCATTGTCATTCACAGACCAGCATCTTTGAATGTGTGCAGGCAGGTAAAATGAAAAGTGCTGGCTGAATAGACAGAGACTGTCCTGCTCTGTGTAGTTTAGGCATCTCTGATGCCCTGCTGCATTGTCCCTGCTCTTTGTTTTCATATTTCATTAGCCGAGCTAGCAGCATGTAGCGTCACCTTCAATTATTCTCCCTGTCAGTGGAGCGACAGTGGCTGTCTGCTGGCTTTAGTGATTATAGGCTTCAGGGGACAGGTAATCAGGTCATGGTTACACCGTCACCCTGTCAGACTGCTCAGACCACAGGGAGCATATGTGATGGAAGAAGTCCACCATCTTCACTCAGGGTTTTCTTACCAATCTTAGATATATGGGAGTGTTTACTGTGAAGTGCAGCACATTTCACAACAGTGCAGTGTAATGTGATGGTGTTTCTCTTGAGTTGTGTTTAGTTCATTGATGATGTTAATGACACACTTTCTGTATGTGACAGTCGAATGATTGGGTTTGGTTACTGGAAACCGTCAGGCTGTGATGGGTAGTTTATATTTGTCAGTAAGCATGTTAGCATTCTGACATTAGCATGGTGTTCAGAGCAATGTAGCCTCATTTAGCTGTTAGTGTTGCTGTAGACTCCCAGTTTTGTTATATCAACAGTGGATTACCATGGAACAATGATCCCACAAAGAATAATCCCCTGACTCTGCAGTTCAAGCATTTTATTGTCCTTCAGTTCATTGTTTTTGTTTTCTAATCTCAACATTACCGACTGGTCCAATCTTTCACTCTAATCCATGTAGATTTAGACTACCGTCAGTTACTATCCATCATCACGGAATGGATATAAAGATGGCTGATTTGTCTTCACTTCCAGAATATCCCAGATATGAACGCTGCCATCTTTTGCACTTTGAACCAGTCTGCACAGTAATAATTGGGCCACGGTTACCAGCTCCTGCTGATGCATGCGCTCGACCAATCGTGCATCAGTCTCAGCTCAATCATGATGTTTCACCCTTGTTTTTATAGCATTAAATTATTTAAATTATTATTTAATTAATTAATTAAAACCAATCTTTAAGGAAAAAACTGCACTTGGGCAATAATCAGGACTACCCAAAATCTAAGAAACTACTTTGTGAAAAAATATATCTACGTGTTTCCATCTACCATCTGCTAACATGGAGGAGGTGGAATATACTGCAGTCATCCCCTCTAGGTGCGTTCGAGATGCTTTGGCTTGGAAAGCTGTCATGTTTGTAAACATTCTATGTCCACCACCAAACCACAGAAAGACAAAGTTAGCTACTTGCTAGCTGCTGGCTGACACTCAGACTCAGAGTTGGTGGAGACTTCAAACAGAAACACAGTTTCAAATCAACGTTGTTGCTCTATTAACTGTCGGCTAACACATACATCACATGAACTTGAAAAGTGATGATTTGCTGTGTTTACAGCTTCTTTCTGCTGCCCTCAAACAGCCCCAAATGAAATAATGGGCTGGAGAATGGGCTTCATAAAATATTTAAGCTAAAGACATTTAAATGGCTCATTTTTATGTTCATGTGCAAATATTCATTCAGGGTCCTGCTTTATGGTGCAGGCTCATAAAATGATCTGGAAAACTTCATTATCATTCGAGAGTAAAGCCCATAAACACTTGTGTTTCTAAGTTTGAAAATGCAATGCAATTGAAAAGTGGCCGAGTCACACACACTTGATCACATTAGGACTTTTTGTGGGAGGTGCTCTATATTACTGTGTTTCAGTGAGAACAGTTCAGTGCACAACCCTGTGTGTTGTGGGTACACACACACACACACACACACACACACACACACACACACACACACACACACACATAATGTTCTGATTACTGTGAATCTGATTTAGATGTATGCGTATTGTTTATACATATAAAGGAACAAAATCTCCATTAATAGATAGGTCAGTATACTCAAAGACAGAAGAGGATCCATGGGGTTAATATAAGCAGGAACCTTGAGCATGTGCATAATGTAGTAGAATATATATCAAATGTGCATTCATAGACATTTCAGTCCATCTGCCAAAGCGAAACATTTTCCAAAAACTGGTCATCGTCCTCTGTAAAGGTTGTGTCTGATTTTGTTTCATGAGAATTTAAAACTTCACTCTGTCCTAATGTAATGTAGCTGGAAACATTCCCAGGATCCTTTTCCATTTAATCAAATGCACTTGGTCTTCTAGCTGGAGAAATATGGCTCCATGTTTTTCAATGTTGGTGAGTGTGTTAGTCTTTGTTATATGGCATTGTGGTTATTGATAGGGTTGAGATTAACATATTACTCAAGTGATAGATGAGAAAAATGACACTTGATGTCATGTTGACAGAAGTTTAACTTTATTTATATCACACATAGAAACTAAAAAGACATTGTTTAACTGAGACATCATGTCGAATAAAAGGTGAAATATCTTTGAACTGATCTCTGAAACTAGGCAACAACTGAACCTGGACACTAAAGGAAAGTTTGGCTTTGGTGACGTTGCCCTCAGGATAGAGACTGCAACTTGGATTTAGTGACATCACATAAGGGTGTGAGCCATTTATCTGAAGGGGACACGTTGAGGAAATCAGACCTGTTAGCAGTAACGGGACAGCTCTTTAACCACTTCCCCAACCTATCATCTATAGGTTGGTTTGTGTGACTGTGCGGAGCCCACGTGTTCCCCCACGGTATTTCCTCTCCCTCCTAGTGCCCCTAATGATAGAATATGTGGTAAACAGAAATAGCAACACTTCTGAAGCACAGGCTTCTCTTTTTGCACCACACACTGAAGACATAGAGGCTACACTGTGTGTGTGTGTTTTATTGAGAACCTATTTGTCGTCTGTGACTGAAGGACTGACTTCGTTTTTTCTAGTCAACTACACGGCCGGCTTTAGTGGGCCCTGGCCCACGCAGGCTGCCACTGGGTGGACTAATGCATTTCTCATCCACCTTTATTAGCTGTGGCGACGCCTGGCTAAACCAATCACATGCTGTGTCACAAAGAGCAGAGAAGACGAGAGGTTTAGCTGACTCTTCCTGCTGCTCTGGCTTGTTACCAGTCTGTGCTGATGCCAACATCCAGACTGATGTGATTATGGAGCAGCACAGACTCATTTTAGTTCTGTCTGCTGCACTTACATCTTCAAGTAAAGTTTTTATGACACGCGTGGAATATGGCTCCTCTTTGTAATTTACCAAACACTCACATTATAGCTGTTTTAAAGAAATTTACTCTGATGATTTCATCACACCCTTCATGGCTTCATTAGTAACAGATGGACTTCATACAAACACTTGTGTCGATGTGTGATGAGTCATGTGGTGAGAGAAACAGTCAGGTCTCAGTGCGAGAAGTGCTCTGAAGAGGTGATTACTGCTCTTGTATAATCTCCAGAGTAAAAAACATCCCTTTCCAACCTGAGCAGAAGCAGTATGTCTTCTTCAGCT